ACTCTCTGATGAGGTGTCAAATTTTAAATTTGACACCGGTGTCAAATGATCCTACCTCTATATATATATATATATATATATATATATATATATATATATATATATATTGAAAACTTATCTAAAAAATGTTAAATAGATGTGTGAAGCACATCTGTAAGTTGTTAGTCTAGATTTAGGACATATTTGGTGTGATGTATAAGGCTTGATAGTATAAGCTTATACTATACGTTATGATATTTTTAGTTGTTTGGTATGATCATTATATAGTATAAGCTTATACATCAAACTCCTTCCCTTAATATATCAAAACAACATATAATTTTATCAGGTCTATGTGAATAGGATTAGACCTTATAAATGATTGGTGTATTACGTTAATCCCTCCTCATTTTTCATTTCCCCATTATAACCCTTCAATCCCACTGTGAAACAACAACATCCTCTCAGAAGTTTCTGAGCGATTGTCCTTTGTCGGCGAGTAGTTTCGATGAACTCTGCCGGCAGCCATCAAATTCAAACCCTTGACGGCGACATCGTTGCTGGCGACCACAAAACTGTTCCTTCGAGGCTCTTCCATCTAGTCTATCTATTCTGCCACGAATTCAAATCAGTGATGCACGTAGATCCAGGTTCGGGTATTATACAAACACCACTAATCAACCCTAGCATCTCATTGAAAGAATAACCACTAATTATCACCATAACAAGTCACTGGATATACTGAATATGAATAAATAAATAATAAAATAAAAACAACTTTTATTAACATTTCGTCCCCAGGTCCTCCACTTATGGCAAAATTCACTATAACATCATCTAAACACCCCCCACACACATACAAAAAAAAAAAAAGGTCTTTAGGTTTCTATTTTTTTTGCCCCCATTTTTTGAGAAATGAGAAAATTGATGAAGAAATAATGCACCCAATGCGATCTTAGGAGCCTTAGGTAGTGTTTGGTTCAGGAGATATTTTTGTTTACTAGGAAAATGTAATTACAAGGAAAAGTGTAGGAAAGTAATTTTGGTAGGAAAGTTTAAAAAAAGTTGTTTGGTACCGCAAAATATTACTGGAAATATTGGGTTAAAAATTCTATTGTGTGTTTGGTTTAAAATAAGATTTAGATGGGGATGTTGCAAATTGTCACCATTTTCTTCCCCAAAAAATTTTATCCGGTTTATGAACAAAAATACCACATTCTTAGATGGATTCATCAACAGTGTATTATCTCATTTTTTACATGCAATCCAATTTAGCTAGGCAACCTAGTTTGATAGATAAAATTGAAGATTTCCTTCTACCAAACATGGAGAAATCACAATGCCACATACACTTCTCTAGGATAATTTTGAAAACTCCCCAACCAAACACTACCTTAACGATATTTTGTTGCCACCGTCCAAGTCTGACGAAGCGCTTGACCTTTTGTTTTTTGGCCTTTAGTTTTCTCATTTCATCTATTTTTTGTATTAAAGGGTGTTTTTGTCAAAAAAAAAATTATTTGTAGTATTATACCGTATATTATCAAACACTTGATATAATTATCTTATACTATACATTATCTTATACAATGTTATACCAAATGTTGGATAATATAAAAATTTAATCAAATTTTATACAATTAAATATTATACTATCAGATATTATATTATCATATCTTATCTTATCGTATACACCAAACACGCCACCCTTAGTGGTGGAGTTGTCAATCTGAACAAAGCCGATTGTAGCTTATTAAGAATGCAATCATAACAATGCTTAGAAATATTTTTACTAGTGAATTATGTAAATAAAATTCCCTTCTTATCATTCGGTTTATTGTTTAAGTCCGATGCATTAGTTTAGGGGAAATACTTTTCTTATACGGTTGATAAAAAAATTTCTTGAAAAAAATAATAACTATGAATCATGAGTATTACATGATTATTATATAAAAACTATTTTTTTTTCTCTCATCAGATATTATCGTCTGACGTGATGAAGAAAAAAAAAATTTATCATTATAATAGTTATGTATTACTTATAATATATAATTATAATGAATTGCTGAAGACAATTTTGTTCTAACAACATGAGAAAAACAAAACTCTTAGTTTAGTAATAGAAATTTTAATGTTGTTACGACGAATAAGGTAAAGTTAATGGACAAAACTTGTATAATAAAAAAATTACCTCGTTAGAGCCAAGTTCAAAGAATATATTTCTTTTTTTTTTGTACAAACGAACATCTCTTTTAGCCTTTATTAGAAAGTTATGAATTTATTTTTGGGAGAGGTTATAGTTACTACCTCTTATTGTTACTACTTGTTACTACTAAATCATAACCGTTGATTTCCGTCAATCTAACGATTATAATTTATTTGGTCATACTTATTAATTAATTATTAATTTTCAATATATTATAATCGTTAGATTGACGAAAATCAATGATTACAATTTAATAGTAACAAGTAGTAACAATAAGAAGTAATAACTATAACCTTTCTCTTTATTTTTTGATCCCACAAAATTTTATTTCTATTTATTTAATTCGAATACGATCTCCTTTAAATAATTTTTGTAAAATTAATGACACCATAGAAAATCAAGTTTTTATGCTTTTTCTAAATATCCGAACCCATTCAATTCGGACCATAACAGATTGCAAATCAAATCAACCATATTTGACTTAGTAAGTGATGACACAAATGGAAAATGAGGGGCTTGGAAAAACAAGTTTTCCGAGTTGTGCAGACTCAATTTTTTACTTTTATTTTTCTATCATGCACTGTCCCAATCAGTGCTTGGTCATCAATTGGACTTTGATTATGTCCAACAACTGAGGCCACTTGAGTGCTATAATGAAGTCACATTTATGGATATCGATTATTAAATTTTCACAAGATGTATTACGTAAAAGTACTATACAGAATAATAATAATAATAATATTATTATTAATAATATTCATCTAATTTTACAAATGTTCAACTAAAAGAAATGCATATTACCTTGCCCTCCATTTGCATATTTTGAAGTTAATGATCAAAATTACAGAATAAAGTAAATATTACTGATTGTCGATAAAAAGTATTTTAAATTTTAAAAAATATAACTACGTGTATGATAAAAAAAAATTACATATATAATAAACTATAAACATGTAAAATTAAAGAGGTGATGTTGATAATGATATAAAATCATTTCGTTAATTTAATCATCAAATACTATCACATCATAAATCACTAATAATAAATGACTTAACATTTATGATATATATGATCAAATTATTGCGTTTACAGTTAAATCAATTACACCATTTTTTAAAGCCTGACTAGTCTCGGAAGATTTTATTTATCTGCTTAACCTTTTCGTCAAAAAAATAAAAATAAAATAAAAATCAATCACATAGTTTATATTATTTGATCTGTACTTTCATATGTTTAGTTCACAAAAGCTGCAGCTTAAGTGAGAGTAACTATTTTAGTAATTATTTAAGGAAATATTACTCTTATTTTATATGAGATAATTATCTCATATTATCTCACTTTAAAAATTTCATTCATTTTTTTATTCTTTAATAACGGGTCTCACGTGACTTTTCTTTGTAGCATGAGAGAACTACTCTTATTTAAAATAAGAGTAATATTTCTTATTATTTAATTAGAAATATTTTTTATATATATATTACATAAGACATAATTATCTCATGTACTCATAAAAAATAATAGGACTCACTTTTTCTCTCTATTTTCTTTAATAAATTCTCATCTATTTTTTTTTTATATCATATGATATAAATTTTATTTTATACAATATAAAAAACATATCGCCTTGTTTAATTTGCCACCGTTAAAGCAAATCATGCTATCAACCAGAAACAGGACCAATTACATATAGCAACTTGGGGTCTATCCTCTATCCCAAAGGACGTGGCAGCTAAGGACTTTGTCACTGATTCACACACATTGTCTTGTAGTTACGTGAGAAGTGCCTAAATAAACTTGATAAAAATAGACAATTAGAAATAATCATCCCTACTTACGTGCCAGAAGCTCTCGGAGCTTTATTTTAAACAGATTAAGACATTAATTAATTATCCATTTATCCATGCTTCATCAAATGTTTTATGGATGTAACCTTTTTAGAAATCAATGTTCGAATCTGAGATGCATAATATAACATTAATCATTGGCGACACATGTCATTCATAATTGCGTATGATTTACCTATAAAATAAGATTTTTGTATTGCATCAATGAATCAAAATCAATGCATATAATCTGCATAAATTCATATAGAGTTCTGATTTAATATATACTTAGAACATATATTTTTTTCGTTTTCACCCCATAAATTTACGCAGCAACAGACTAATGTAGCAGTTAACCAACATGAGTACTGCATACCCACGTGGCAAATCATAATCCCTCATTCTTCACTTATAAGCCACGTATAACCCAGACCAACTCCAACTGCACTCTTGTGGCTTTCAATCATCTTCACTCACTTAATCCATTTTCTTTCTTTATCCAATTCAAATTAAAATAAAATAAAATATAGCATTTAATTTAACAACATTGTGAAGCGTAAAGCACTCTAAAAAGTAGTGGACAATTTCAAATGAGAAAAAAAGAAAATGTTTGTTCGAAGCAGATAGGATATGGTAACAATTAATTAAGGTTATTATTAATTTTATTGTTAGATCTATTATGTTGATCCAATATTATTTATATCTTTGTATGACTATGTTTTTTTATATTTAATATTTTATATTTATTTTTATCTTTGTATAATTATGATACACTAAATATGAGGAATCATAATAATATAAAAATAAAAATAAATATAATTATTAAATCAATATAATAAATCTAATAGTGAAATTGATTAATAGTAATTTTAATTAATTTGTTACATTATCTGATAATTAAAAAAACGACTGTTTCTTAAAAGCGATTATTGTAATCTATAATCACTTCCTTTCCATATACATCTCTCTTTAATCTCACCCCTTAATTATCGTTCTCTCTCTCTCCATCGGTGTCTCTGTGTGCGCCATTCCTTCTATTTCAGCTTTTTGATCGCCGGAACGCATCTCCGACCGATCAAATTCCCGGCATTCATTCCGGTGATCTAACTCCGATGATTCACCACTCTGATCCATAGCTTTCTCAATCACCGAATCAATCTCAAACATCATCATTTTACTTCTTCTCTTTTTTCGCTTCTCCCTTTCAGATCCGTTTCCATTCGAGTTCCGCTGCGAAAATCGGGGGAGAACAAACCATTCATATGGATTAGCAACACCCGATGAGAAACCTTTCCCCATGCGACTCACGAACGCTTTACTCTTCCGCAATCTCGCTTCCGCCAGCTACTACTTCCGAGTCCAATTTTAGGGTTAGGGTTTGCGTGTTGCGTTTTGTAGAACAACAAAATGTTCAAAAAAATCATGAAGGGAGGGCACAAGAAGCCCTCCAAGTCCGACTCCAACGATTCCCCGGCGGCGCCGAACGCCGGGAGCAACCGTGACTCCAATGTGGTGGTCAACCACGCCTCGCGCGGCGGTGGAGGTACTGCGGCTGCAAATTCGGCCACCGCCATGCCAATCGCTCCTCCGTCTGGCGCCATGGAACCGGTGCCTTTGTTCCGTGACGTGCCGGTTTCGGAGAGGCCAAACCTTTTCCTTCGGAAGCTGCATATATGTTGCTACGTTCTGGATTTCTCGGACACGCTGAAGAATGTTAGGGAGAAAGAGATCAAGCGGCAGGCTCTGATGGAGCTCGTGGACTACATCCAATCGGGTTCGGGCAAGTTAACGGAGAATTGCCAGGAAGAAATGATCAGAATGATATCTGTGAACATTTTCCGGTGCTTGCCGCCGGCGTCACACGAGAACACGGGGCAAGAGCCCACCGATCCTGAAGAGGAGGAACCGTGCTTGGAGCCGTCGTGGCCACATTTGCAGCTGGTGTACGAGCTTCTCCTCAGATACGTGGTGTCATCGGATACTGATACCAAGGTTGCAAAACGGTACATTGATCACTCTTTTGTGCTGAAGTTGCTGGATTTGTTTGATTCTGAGGACCCCAGGGAGCGTGAATATTTGAAAACCATACTCCATCGTATATATGGCAAGTTCATGGTTCACAGGCCCTTTATTAGGAAGGCTATTAACAACATTTTTTATCGGTTTATATATGAAACTGAGAGGCATTGTGGTATTGGGGAGCTTCTGGAGATTCTTGGGAGCATCATCAATGGGTTTGCTTTGCCAATGAAAGAGGAGCATAAGTTGTTTCTTATCAGGGCGCTTCTGCCTCTGCATAAACCTAAGTCTGTTGCTTTGTACCACCAGCAGTTGTCTTACTGCATCACTCAGTTTGTAGAGAAGGATTTCAAGCTCGCGGATACGGTTATTAGGGGCTTGTTGAAGTATTGGCCTGTCACCAATTGCCAGAAGGAAGTTCTCTTCCTTGGAGAACTGGAGGAAGTGCTGGAGGCCACTCAGGCTGCAGAATTTCAACGCTGCATGGTTCCCCTTTTTAGACAGATTTCCCGCTGCCTCAATAGTTCTCACTTTCAGGTTCGTGGAAAATTATTATTATTATTATTATTAATATTGGTGTTAGTTGGGATTTGGAATTATAACAAGCTTTTTTCATCTTTTATTTTTGGTTTCAAATTTGCAACTTTGCTTGTTGAACTGCTAGCTTCTATGTTGCCAATTTCCATACACTATACATCCAATTTAGGTATATTTTTTTTACTAGTCATCTTTCTACTTTAATGCAGTGATTTATATATGGTATATATCAACTGGGGGTAATATAAGTTTAAGCTGCCTAATTAATAAACTTCAATTGTAATATTCTTTTTCTGTTTCCCTTTTATAGCTCCAAACTCTTCAGTGATTGAATCCACTTTTTTGGGGCAATTGTACTTTTTAGTTGCTTGTTATGCCATGCATCTATTAGAGATGTAATTTTTGATCTGGAAAGAAAAAACTTTTCTTTTATGTCATTATCCATTAATGTGATAAGATGCTTTATGTTCCAACCTGATTTAATTGGCTTCTGGCCTTTCACCAAGCACATGCTTTTTGCATGTGCAGGTATTTTGAATTCATTATTGTTCATCTCCTGCTTCAAAACCGAGCAGTGAAATGGCAAAGTTAACTAGAATTTAAATTCAACTTGTGGCTATTAGTTTTCTTATCACTTAGAAATTGTAAGTGTGCTTTGTATCTTTTAAATAGTAAAAAACATTGACATAATTTAAAGATTATATGGGTAACAGTTTATGTTTGGGATTGTATTGTTAATTTTCTATTTAATAACTGCAATAGGGAAATTTGTTATTTGCCTTAAGTAATATTTAAGAATCCCCGGGTCAATAGTTTTGTTTCTTTCTTATTATATTACCTCTATTTATTTATTTATTTTTATGTCACGATGTGCATGTCATGATATTTGAGAATGCCATTAAAGTTAGAACTGAATCTTGAGATTGCAGCTGTGCTGAATATGGTTTCTCGGCTCCACTGTTATCTTGTCCCCTAATTCATTCTGTCAAACGAGACACCTTCTTGATTTAAGAAACTGAGCCCTCTGATTTAACATGATCCATTGTAATGTGCCACCTAACAACAAAATCCACGGTTAAGTTTGGTGGAATGGGAGTCACATACATGTCACATGACCTGTATGCTGGAAATGATCATCTATGTGCAGTCATCAGCTTCCTCCTTGCGTCATCATCGTGGATGACCTCTTTTTTTCTCAACGAAAGAGAAAGGGGGAGTATTTCAACACTAAACTGGTCCTCATAAATGGCTGCATAATCTAACATCTTCCTCTGTAGAGAACCTCACATTAAACATCTGTAAAGAAAATTGCTATTTTATGAGGATGATTACACAAACTAGCAAACATACACCTTCCAACTTTTGAAAACTCCATGTGTTGTGTTCTGCTTTTATTATATTAGAATGTAATGATTATGGATGTGAGACATTGTATTCATAGAGAGCCAATATTCTTTCATTTCATCAGCTTCCTTTTCATCTTCTGCAATTTAGTTGGTGGTTTTGAGTGCTGGTTTTCCTCATCCTCTCCCCTGATATGAGGGTTTCTATATGCATCTTTACAAGTTTGCACACATATAATATTCAAGAGCTGGTTATGATTTCTATATAATTAGGTTTGTTGCTGGATTTCTCTTAATTTAAATAACTGGGCACCCTTTGATTTAATTTTTGCAGGAATTCATTGATACCAATTTTGATGTTGTCTCTTTATCATTTACATCCATATAAAAAAAGTAGTGTTACATTTTTCTTCTAATTGATTGGCATCTTAAATTGTGATAAAATTTTATGACTATCTTTGTCAAAAGACTCGTCCAATCGTCCTCCTAGGAATCTATTATTCCTTTATGTTTCTTTCACTGGAGTTGATCTTAATCTCTAGCTGGTGTTGTTGAATCATGAGTGTGGTGCATTTTTTGAATGATGAAACCAAGTGTGTTGTGTTAAGGAAGGATGAAACAAGAGACATTTGGTAAATTAACAAGTCTAAATTACACAACGGAGACTAGATTATATTACCATAAAAGTAATAAATTCAGATATCATAATTATCTTAATTGCCATAATTACATGATTATGGTTAGTCTATACAATAAACCTAGACACTATTTATATGGTTTTCAACACTCCGCCTCAAGTTGGAGCGAATGGGTCATATGCACCAAGCTTGTCACATGTACAACTTATCGGACGACCACTCAAAGACTTAGTGAAGACATCAAACAACTAATCATTTGAATTGACAAAATGAGTGATGGTATGCATTGCAGCTTGATTATCAAAACAAGCCTTCCCTTCGTAATATATCTAAATTAAGGTCTTTATGTAATTGTTCGCCAAATGAGTTCACAAGTTGTTGATGCCATGACACAATATTCTGTCTTAGCATTTGATCTCACCACAATATTTTGTTTCTAACTTTTCGAAGAAATCAAGTTATCCCCAATGAATACACAACACCCAGTAGTAGGTCTCTTATTAGTAGAGCAACCCTGCCTAGTCAGCATTCGAGTATCCAACAACCCGAGTATGACCTTTATCTTCATAGATAAGGCCTTTTCCTAAAGCTTCTTTAATGGATTTGAGAATATGCATTATTGCATCCCAATCTCCTGTCCAAGGAGAATATAGGAACTTACCATAGTGACTACAAATGAGATGTTTGGACGAGTGGTTGTATGATAATTTAATTTCCCAACTAATCTTTTATGTATCTCTCTAGATCTGAGAGCTGCTCCCCCTAATTTGACAAAAGCTTGACATTTGGATTCATAGCTCCTTCCTCAAGGATGTCCATGGATTATTTCCCCTAAAAAATTATGATACCATATATGGATTGCACAACCTCTATTTTGAAAATGCATTATAGTTTTACAAGATGCTTTGTCTAAAAGTGTTGATGGAGATGTTGATTTACCAATGTGATGCCATGATGATCATCGCTGGTCATGACTATGTCATCAACACACATAGTTGAATAAATGCACCATTTGATTGAAAAGTCGTAAAAGACCGAGTGATCAGCCTCATTCCTAGTGATACCAAATGGTTGAACATGTAGAGTCTAGCACTTATAAATAATGTGCCCTAATTGGTGGAAGTGAAGTGAGCACATAGAGGACAAGAGTGACTAGACATGCATGAACAACCACAATTTCCACTCTGAGATACAATGGCAAAGGAATCGATCAGAGCAATGGGCACATCCAAATTAGATGACTGTTTGGCTAGAACATGTAATAAGGTGGACCTTGCTGTTTTTGAAGTTGGGACAGTAAGGGATCCAAAAATTTGATCAGGTGTAGTGGAGCGCTTAGGGGGGTATACCTTGATAGGAGTTGTAGTTGGGTGCAAAAGTTCTTCAAAGTCATATAGTGCTCCATGAATCTTGCCCAAATAGATGAACATAGAACCATCAAACCTTATACTAATTCGCATGTGACGTAGGCACGGAAAATTTGCTTCAGTGAAGGATGAATAATATCTGCTACACAGTTGGGCATCAACTTTAGACCATCTAGACCGGTCAAGTACTGGTAAAAGTAGGCTGTGGTAATGAGCTAGTTCACATTCTCTTGATTGATGAGCGAGAGCTTGATATCAGATGCTCATGTGTCATAGTTGGTACCATCCAACTTGTGAGTAGTGAGAGGGGCGCTAATATAATTGTTGATAATAGGAGGCCCAGACTATGAAACATCCTTAGGAGCCTCAAAAGTAGATCGAGAGAAGAGTGCAACCATGTTGGACGGGCAGCTACAAAGTATACGCAAGGAGTACAGTTCTAGGAAAAGATAGTGGCACTCAAAATTGAGAGCAAATGGGGCAAGGTAGCATTAATTGGAGTAAAGGAAAAGGAAACAAGTATGATGCTGCAAGGTTGCCAGATGCGCTGCCATGCATGACTGATGAGGTGAGAGCGTGGGAGACAAGCAGAGATTCCTAGTCGACGCATGGGCATGTGATATCGGTGATGGATAAGGGTCCAGTGGAAAACAGATGAGTGACCCAAACAAACTCGGGTAGGTCGCCGGCAGGAAAGCATGACAGACGGTGACAGCCAGATAGTATGTTTTGTACTGGCCGGAATGATGATACATGGAAGAGCAACCAGAAACTTAAGTGGAGACACAATGTCCATAAAAATGTTTATCACCAACGAGCAATGGGTTCACCAGGTAGGCGTGAACTGGGGTTGCCTCTTGTCAGACTCTAGATACCATATTAAGGTAGGAGGAAACGAGAGACATTTGGTGAAATCCTTGTGTCTAAACTACACAACAGATACTATATTACATAACCAAAAGAAGTAATAAATCATGGTTATCCTAATTACCATAATTTTATGATTGAGGTTAGCCTATACAATGAACCTAGAGATTTTTCCCAGTAGGCGTGAACTGGGGTTGCCTCTTGTCATGCTCTAGATACCATATTAAGGTAGGAGGAAACGAGAGACATTTGGTGAAATCCTTGTGTCTAAACTACACAACAGATACTATATTACATAACCAAAAGAAGTAATAAATCATGGTTATCCTTAATTACCATAATTTTATGATTGAGGTTAGCCTATACAATGAACCTAGAGATTATTTACATGTTTCCCAACACGTTGCATCTTTCAGAATGATGAAACCCCCTGTTTGAGCATTCTATGGGGAATCTAACTAAGCCAAAAAAAAAGGCTACTTTTAAGACTGGCAATTTGAGTCTTTTTGAGTGGCTCCAATCTGGAGAGTTGTTAAAGCTCTTGTTGGTCACTTGTTCAAATAAATATCTTCCTGGTATTTGGATATCTCTAGAGACTGAAACTACTGTTGATTACGCTACTGAAGATCAGCATTAGGTCAATATAAATACAGCACCCCATTGAAACATTTGTTTTGATATCTCTAGAGACTGAAACTATCTTCCTGATATTTGGATATCTGTAGGGACTGAAACTACTGTTGATTACGCTTCCGAGGATTAGCATTAGGTCAATATAAATACTGCACCTCATTGAAACATACGTTTAGGGAGTTGAAACCCATATGGAAAATGTGGAGTCCGTGAATTACTAGAACTTCCAAGCTTGGAAAGAGATTAAAATTTAAAATTTGAATCAGAACACTCAAAATCTGGTTCAGATTTGATTTGGGGTTTTTTTCATTTCTGCTATGGGGCAACATTTCTGACTTATAGAAAAGAACATGGTCTAAGTTCACTTATCATGTTGTCAGATAATTTGTTATTGTTTCAGCCTATATTAGTTATGTGACTTGTATACAACTACCAAACTGGCAAACTTAACCTTGATTTGGATGTAGGGGTGGACCTATCTTCATTGGAAAGGGGGAAGCTGCACCCTCATAAATGGACATTGTTTCTATAGTTTTAATAATCTACAATATTGAGATTTTAATATTAAATATTTATACTGTTTGCATCCCCAAACAAGTATTGCTAGCGCGACTCCTGTTTGGATGGTAGGTGGTACATTGCAAATGATCTTCAATTCTTCACAAATAAAGTGTACCATGATGGCATTGCAATTGATCCAATAAATCAGGGGGCAAAGAGCAATTGAGCCTTCCTTTGACTTTTCTATTCATGCATTAGCCTTGTTCTCAATAAGGTACTCCCACACATACTCCAATTAAGTGTTAACTGTGTGTTTGCTTCTGTCGTGTTGCATTGTATTAACATCGTAGTGAAACTATTGTCTTGGTTTCTTAAGCCTTTGCTTCCCTTTCAAATTCCCAACAGCTGGCAAATAGCCCCTTCTTCCATCCAAAATGGCTGCAAATTTCCAAACTCCAACTGAAAATGCAATTGCCCATAATCACAAAATTGAGAGAACTTTTATCTGCAGAGCACACTTGTAGAACCAAGCTCTTCCAACCCCAGCTCAGCTGATCCCATTTGTTTTTTTTTTTTTTTTGGTTTCACTGATTAGTGAATGGAAGTTTAAGCAGGTTAATTTGAGAATTCACAACAGGGTCTTATTGCTAGATTTGAGTTCAAGGGTTTGATTTGCATTTTATCATATTTTTTATAATGCCCTTGAATGAAAATTGTTGTAGGCTTCTACTAAAAAACCGGAACATAATGTATTGATTCATTCTGTTAGCTTAAACAATTATAATCTGTTTTTTGTTGAGATCATTAAACTGCAGTATCGGTGTGGATGTTTTCATATGCAGACAAGTACTTTTAATGCTTTTATTGCTCTTTAAGAGCCGTTGATACTTAATTCTGTCTGGTGGAAAATATTTTGGAAGTTTGCTATATTATAGGCCTTAATTGGAATGGTATTAAGGATTATGCAAATTTTGAATTTGTATCATTGAATGTTTGTTCTTCCAAGATCTTAAAAGAAGAAAATGAAAGGAGAAACCTAAAATTTCAAAATCCTGAGCAAACAAGTGAAACTCAAACTAATTAAAACTCATTCGTCTCTCAACATTCCAACACACAAAAAACTAAAATACCCCTTAGCTGAGCACCATTATAAGTCTTTAGAGTATGGTCTTTGTCAATATAGGATTGAGGACTTCTACAGCCTCTTTAATTTTTTTTTTTTATTTAAAATAAAAATTATGAACGGCTTCTTTGATTTACACGTGTAAATTTTAATTCTCGAGTCTTTTTAATCAACATAGTGGGTTGAGAATCTTGTTCAGTTGGAACTGAACTTTGTTTACTGTTGTTATTTTTCATGATTTAAATGTTCCCTGGGAAATCTTTGCTTAAGATATACTTGTTATGCAGGTTGCAGAGCGAGCCCTCTTTTTGTGGAATAATGAGCACATTGTAAGCTTGATTGCCCAAAACAGGACTGTGATATTACCGATTATATTTGAAGCGTTTGAGAAAAATATTGAGAGTCATTGGAACCAGGCAGTTCACGGGCTGACTGTGAATGTTCGCAAAATGTTCATGGAAATGGATGCAGAATTATTTGAAGAGTGCCAGAGGCGGCATGCAGAGAGAGAGGCTAAAGCTAAAGAAGTGGCTGAGCAGCGGGAACTGAACTGGAAGAGACTGGCAGAAGCCGCAGCTCAGAACGGCGGGGAGGATATGGTGACAGCTTAGCCTTGTGAGTTTACTGCCTCAACTGGAAATGTGAATTAAATAGGTGAAGGATGATGAATGTGCTCCTCTTCTCCATTTTGGTGCTATTATTTATTGGTTTCTTTCTTTCCAGCCTAAATTTTTTCTTCTCTTCTATATTATTATTGTCTCAGTTGGATAATTAGCAATTTGAAGAAAGCAGTGATTAATGTAACTTATTCGAAGTTGTTAGCAATGTCTGCAGATTTAGAATGTTCTGTGATAAATTTTCTTGTATTTTTCCCCCTTTTACATAGAGAAATACGGAAAACAGAATTGCGCAGTTTGTTTTTATTGGATTTGGATTTTGGACTTGATGATTGAAGGCATTTTGCAATAAAACTGTGAAACCTTTAAAACTAAGGTCATTTATGAAGGAACCAGGCTACGTAACCTTGGCAAAATGGCATACTTTAATAAGTAAGAAGTTATGAACTAGTATCAGAGTAAGAGTGAATGACATTTTTCTTGGGATGAATGAGTGGTTAATGTGTTCAGCACGGGCTTGCTGTATATTATGCTGGTATTATTTATTTATTTTCTTTTTTATTCTAGGTGAATCTGGGCGTCCTTAACCAGTTGGATGAGTTTTTATTCTTAAAAAAGTTGTATTTTTTTTTTAAATAAAAGTTTTTTTTGAGAATTTTTAGATGTTTGGATAACAATTTTTTAAAAAGCAAAATTTAAAATATAAGTTAAAATACTGCTTTTTTTATAGGGAGTAGCTGGTTGTTTTTGAAAAAAAGTAAAAATTAAAAGATAATATAAATTATTTTTTTTTGAAAAAAAGATAATGTAAATTTTTAAAATACAATTTTAACCTCATCCTATCATATTTATTTTATCTTTCCTTATTCTTATTGTAATTATATATATAAAAAGCATTTTTTATTTTAACATTCAAATAACTTTTTATGTAAAAGTGATTTTTAGATCATACATCCAAATATAAAATAACTTTACCTTTTAAAAAAAGTTATTTTAAAAAAAGCAATACACAAAAAATCATTTTTTTAAAAGCTCATCCAAACAGGTCCTAAGACCTCTAAAAGAGCGTATATTGAAGGAAGTTAATAATAAAGAAGAATTTATATTCTCTGATAACGACAGTCTCTCTCGTAAATTGCTTGGAATGAGAAAACGTTTGTCCTGAAGATCCTTCAATATACCTTTTATACTACTAATCGGAGCTCTTCGATGCATTCCCTTGAGCTCATGAAAAGGATATTATAAACCGTAAACCAGGTAGGTATACAGCGAGCACTAAAGAAACATGACCCAACTTCTAATAGATGGAAATCCTATTCCTCACAGATTGTATCGCTAGGTAGTCAACTTGTCATCGTGAAAGAATGTCTTCAATTAAAATTTTGGTCTAATAGAGTGCACTTACACGCTGCATTTCCTTTACATTTAATTTCGATTTGAGATGTGCTTCTTAATTTTAAACAAGAGGAAAATTATAGGGTTTTGTTTTTTTCATCTATCCTAGTTTGGCACCACTTAAGAAATTTTCACGCGTATCTTGCTTATCACATCGAATCCCAATTAGTTGGATATAATCTTTCATAGCTAGTGGTATTTGCAAAATTTCATCAATTTGACGATTGTGGAAGTTAACTAAGTAAATCAAAACATATTTTGAAATCTAGACAAGAAAATTAACATTTGTTGGCACAATTTAGGTTAAAGATTTTTTAAAATTTTCGACTGAATTAATTTTTTTTCTAATTTTATTTTTTTGTTTTGGTTATGTATATTAAGAGGAAATGGATCCAAAAGCTCTTACAACCAACTTATTGGTGATGATACTTTTGTATGTTTTGGTTTTCCAAACTTAATACATTTTCTAAAGAAGAAGATATATTTTTACTATAAAAAAAACTCACTATCAACTCATTACCTATTCTCTTTTTATGATTCAATGATTAAAAAAGTAGTGAATTTATAGTAGATTTTTTGGTAGTAAAAATATCTCCCTGCGAAATCCTAAACCTAGCCAACCTCATATCCTAAAACTCAAACTGGTCATGTCATTCCAAGTGGGAAGACCACCATGATCTGTTGGATAAAAGAAGAGTAATTCAAGAGCATGGAAAATACTTGCAGCACTTATTTGGCAGGACTCCTTATCACAAGTTGCAAGTGTGCATTTTCTATATTCATGCCAACTGGCTAAGAAGATTCCTATTGTAAGTGCAGTTTGTTTTTACTGCATTAGAGAAATATTGAATAGTCACCATTCAAGTCTGATCCAACATTGCTGTTATTATTATCAAAGAATGGTATCTCAATGATAAATTTCTTTTAAAGGAGCAACGATGCTCTCCTACTAGTGGAACAATTTCTCGTCTCCTACTGCACGAGACTTATATTACCCAAAAATAAAAGGCATTGAAAATAACTAAGGTGGACAAGTTGGTAAAAAGAATCACTAATGAATCAGAATAAAAATACGAGGAAAAAAAATGGTGAAAAGATCAATTTGAGCTCACTTCTTGAAAATTATTTTGTACTCCGCTTCTATTAGTAAACACTCAATGCATCATTTAATAATAAATTTTATAATTATCATCTTATATGATTTGAGAATTTCTATGTCATAAAGATAAAAAGTCATATGAATTTTATATGTTAAAAAAAGTCATGTGTGAGGCCCACATCATCACGGAATAGGAAATTTTTTCTTTTGATATATATATATATATATATATATATATATATATATATATATATATATATATATGGGATTAACATCTATTATTTTAAAGGATATAAGCTTATATCATTTTAAATCTTAACCGTTGATTTCTGTCCATCAACGGTTATAAATTATTGGATTAAAATTATTAATTAATTAATAATAAATTTGGCCCATTAAGTTTGACCCAATAGATTATAACCGTTGATAGACAGAAATCAACAGTTAAGATCTAAAATGATATAAGGTTATATCCTTTAAAAGGATAGATGTTTTTCCCTATATATATATATAGGAAAAAGTATTTGTCATTTTAAATGACATAAAATTATATCATTTTAAAAGAGAGATAGACACAAAATAATTTTTTATTTAAAATTTAAATTAAAAAACCACTCACTTTCTCTCTCCTATGATTTCCATTTTGTGTCTATATCTCTCTTAAAATGACATAACTTTATGTCATTTAAAAATGACAAACATTTTTTCCTATATATATATATATATATATATATATATATATATATATATATATATATATATATATAGGATCAGGATCATTTTACACCAGTGTAAAACTAATAAGTCTTACACCGCATCTCAATCGTTGATTTCCGTTTATCTAACAGTTATAATTTAAAAAGTCATACGAATTAATTAATATTAATTAATCATTAATTACACTACAAATGAAAATCGATTATTTCTGTCCATCAACGGTTGAGATGCGGTGTAAGACTTGTTAGTCTTACATTGGTCTAAAAAGATCCCGTCCTATATATATATATATATATATATATATATATATATATATATATATATATATATATATATATATATATATATATATATTGGCTATAAATTTTCCTTCTCATATTACATGAAAATTATAAAATCTTTTAATAATTCTATTCACTCATTATATTATACACTCTTTTATGGTTAATGTTACACGAAATTTAATTTATTTAGTTTTAATAAAGATACGCTCCACTTCTCGCTTATTGGCAGACGAAGCCTCAAACTCTTTTTTTTTTTAAATTAATCCTAATTACTTCTTTGAGGACAAATCAGAACCCCTGTACCCACGGGTTCGGCTCTTTGAGCCGCCAGATGATGTTTGTAGGATTCGAACCGAGGTCCTCTTCCACCACTCAGTCCCCGTACTACCAACTGAGCCACCACTTGGGCCTCAAACCCTTGTATCTGAAGAAAAGCTAGAAAGATCTTAGCGGAGATACAAATGTTGGTTTCCTCTACAATCGAAAATCATATCCCTATCCTTTATCTCTTTCTCTTCAAACTTGTAATCAGTTTCTTTAATTATTAATTCCACTCTTTAATTTCTTTTCTTTTTCTCGTTTTAATTTTTTAAATAATAAACACATCCATATCTTGTTCTAACACTACGCAATGACAAAAAGATATGTATATATATCCTTAACTTCTTGTTGTTGCTGAAGTAGAAGCAAATTAAGGAGCATCTCTGCACAAAAGGCCAGAACTGCTGATGCCAAAGAATACTTATAATAGAAGTGCATCTTATCTTAATTAGAAGAATGAATGACCTAATTAGATAGTTAGATACCTTGCATAGTACCATGTTAATTAATTGCTAAGCCAATAGTTTGTGGAGTTCCCACACACATTCAGCAATATTATCCTCCTTTTGTGCCATGTGAAAGTTTCTGGTCATCCATCATCTCTTTTTCGCTTTTGCTACTTTCCTTTCATGCTTTGTTAAGTTGTCACATTCTTCACTTTGTGTATATATATGTGTGGTCTTAAAGCCCTTTCCATGGACGTGGGAACATACAATTGCCTATAAATATCAAACAGCCATGCAAGGAGAACATTTTCGTAAAGGGACTTGGCTTCAAGAGGAAGATGAGCAATTGACAAGCTTTGTGACCCGTCTCGGGGGTCGAAGGTGGGACTCTCTTGCCAAAGTAGCAGGTATGTATGAATTATTCTCACCTTAGTTAGAAATGGACTACCTAATGATCATATATATATAAGTATGGAAAGACATGTCTTAAAGTTTTGGGTCAAAGAAATATAATATAAAACCATTAAAGACCTATCACTTACAACTTTAAACTTTTGGGTGAGGTGGTTATTTGGTGGTTATTTATCAGAGCCTAGTTCGACTTGGACAAATCTGGTTATTAGCTAGAGTTGGGTTGTGCTTTTGTTGATGGGCCTTCAATAATTCTTATATTATATCTCTTTAATATTTTGGATTATGAGGTGATGTTAATTAGAATACCTAATTTGGCATTCATCCTTTATATTTTGTGCATTTATAGTGAAAACTGGTAGAAATCTACCTTTTGCAGGCCTTAGGAGAAGTGGTAAAAGCTGCAGGTTAAGGTGGATGAACTATCTTCGTCCAAATCTCAAGCATGGCCCTTTTAGTGTTGAAGAAGAGCAACTTATTGTTCAGCTTCAGCAGCGATGTGGTAACAAGTGAGATTCTTCCCCTGTTAAATGTCTGAGGCTGAAAAAATTAAGTGTAGTCAATGTTCACAATGCCAAGGTGCTAGTGTAGGAATTGGTACACTATAACCTAAACTTGTCAAATTTGTAAACTTTTAGTACAATGAATGTAGGTGGTCGAAGATTGCTCGAAGGCTTCCAGGAAGAACTGATAATGAAATTAAGAACTACTGGAGAACCCATTTAAGAAAAAGAGCACAAGCTCAACAAGAAGGTACAATGTGTTATTCTTTGTATAAATATTTGCTTACTTGTAAAATGATTGTACTTGTTATTTGCAACCACTTACACGAGTTTCATTCTCAGGTAAGTTCAAGTATGAATTAGAAAACACATCACAAGATTTCAATCAGAAAAGGATTGATATGGTTTCGAAGGACTACAATCATGCAAACGTTTATTGTCAAGAAAATGAATGGGAGACTAAGGATAGCTCTATAGACACTTTTCCTTTATCAGATTGGGAATTGAGAAGCTCACTGCATGACTCTAGAATATTAGATTGGATAGCACAATTGCAAAATGGAAACAGTGAGAAAGAACAAGAACAAGAACAGGATTGTAATAGCACAGGAACGTACGAATACAATCCTCAAGAATTTGCAGAGTGCCGTGATACATGGGATTATTCAGGTTCCCTTTGGGACATGAACTAAGTTGAGACTTTTGTCTTCAAATTGTTAATGCCAATAATTTTGTGAATTTATTCATAGTCTTGCATTAAGAATTTTTCATTCTGAATTACGTACTATAATTTATATTTTCCTATATTTAAAAGGGAATATAGTTTCTCATGTTATATAAGGGGCAGACCCAGTAGGGGGCTAGGGTGGGCCCCCGCCCTCCTCTAAAATTTGAGAATATTTTTTTATAATATATGTAGAAAAATGTGATGATAAAATTATCGTGTTGTACACGTTTTTTCTTTCATGGGGCATTTGGTAGAGAAGAATTTTTTTTATCTAGAAATCACGATTTCCAAGAATATGATAGGAAGATGAGTTTTCTGAGAATGTTAGCAAAAAGGTGTTTGGTAGACTAAAATATTACCGAAAATATTGGATTAATTTTCTTAATGCTATGTTTAGTTGTATTAAATTTTTCCTTGCCATAGAAATTCTAAAATACCACCCCCTGGATGGTATTTTCAAAAAAAATTACACCCAAAATAAAATTCCGGAAAAATCAGATTTCTGAAAAAAATTTAAAAAACTTGTACAAAACAGGGGTAAATTTGATTACCACTCCCAGTTTCCCGAAATCCTAAAAAATGCCTCGTACCAAACGGTCCCTTAGTTCCTCATGTTTCTGCCCACACTTTTACCCATATTTTTCCTTGAGAACATCATATCATCCTCTCTCTCCTTTATGTGTTCTGTCCATTACCAACCTCCTTCTTTAGCTTTTCGATTTTGGTTGTGTAAATTCGATTTTGGCTGTGTATTTAAAAAAATTAAAAAATCTAGAGCCAAGCAAAATCAACTTCCACCTTCCTAAGATCATTGCATGTATGTATGGTCATAGACTATCTTTGATTACATACATTAAAAAAAAAATTATTTTGAATTTTAGCACGGAATCAATTATATATGAGTTTAATAATATGAAAACACGTAGAGCAAGAATAAGTGAAGTGATATTAATTTCTGTAATAGATTTTTTTCAATTTTTTGTATATTAAGTTTGTATTGTATTTCAAGTACTTTTATTTATGATATAATATTTTTTATTTTCGCCCCTCTTATTAAAATTTCTGCGTCCGCCATTGTGTTATATGTATGAGATAAAATTATCTCATGCATACAAAAAAAAATGGATGAGACTTACTTGATTTCTTTTTCTCTCTTCTTCTTAGCGGGTCATGCCCACTTTTTTGTGTGTGTATGAAACACTTTTTGTCTCATGCAATATGAAAAACTATATTCTCTAATTAAAGTGTGAAGAGAGTTTACATTATGAGGGTGTTTGGATCTCTCTTCTTTAAGCTAGAAGCTACCTTTAAACTAAAGCTAAAAAAAAAAAAAACTAAAAGCTGTTTGTTGATTACATTAAATTTTTAACTTAAAAGCTCAAACCTCATTTCAAGAAAAGTTGATAAGAGCTTTAAAAAAAACTCTTTCTAGGATTTTTGGCTTTTTGCTTTTTTCTTCATTATAAAAAAAGGTTCTTTTTATTATAAAAGCTTTTGTAAAAATCTATTTGGCCCAACTTCTACTTATAACGAAAAGATAAGCTAAAATGAAGAGGATCCAAACAGGTATTATATACTAAACTCCAATACGATTTTTACATTTAGTTATTTACTGTCACTTTAATTTTCATTAATTAAAATAAATTTTATCAAATTAAATAAAAATCGAGCCTGATTCATGGTAGTTCTAGCTCTCAATTCCCATCAATCTACAAACCTTAATATCAGATTTCAATCAATGCCTTCTCTGAGAAACAAATTAAGTTGCAGCATCGTATTTGGCTAGATTTTTCAACCCAAATGTACAAATCAATTGAAAGGTTTGTCATGGCTTAATGTTGGGTTGGATGCTAGATAAGAGTAATGGAGTTTCTTGACTAATTAATTCCTTTTATGCATTCTGACGTGACCATATAACTAGTGATGATGGGGAAGCAAAACTGCACGAGAGAAAAATTTATTCAGTGCATCACTTCAAAGTTACAAAAAAAATTAATTCACCCAATTCTATTATGATTAATATCAAATGTATCCTTCTTATTTCTATTTAGGAAAAAGTTCGAAAACACCCATATACTATTGTTTTGAATTACTTATATCTCTATGCTTTTTTTTAATCACTTAACTCCTCTGATTTTTTTATCCACATCCCTCATTAATAGTGTTAGAAACTTAACTAAATATATCTACTTTACCCTTCTTAACAAAAGAAAATAGAGTGATATAAAGAAAAGAAAAATAAGATCAAATGTTATGAAAACTTAAAACACTTAATAAAAGACATAGAAGAAAAATAACATAAAATATAAATAAAAAGAAAAATAAATTTATATTATAAATGTTCAAACATATTTGATCGTATTTTTTTTTCCGCAGTCCATTTTATTCTTTTTTATTTAGGTATATTTGATCTTATTTTTTCTTTTCTTTCTTTTTTTTATTTGGTCTATTTTCTTTTCCTCTTTTTTTACTTTTAGTTTTTTCTATCATTATTTTTGGTTTTTGAACATATTTAGTCTTATTTTTTTCTATTTTTTTGTCCTTAATCTTTTTTTTTTTGTTTAGACGCATTTGATCTTTTTTTCTTTTACTTATTTTTATATCTTTTATGTAAACGTTCTAAGTTTTCATAACATTTGATATTCTTTTTTTATCACTGTATTTTTTTTTTAAGAAGGATAAAGTAAATATATTAGTTAAGTTTCTATCGGTGTTAAGAAGAGGTATGGATAAAACAAATCACAGGGTGTTGGTAGTGATTAAAAAAAAGCATATAGATGATAGTGATTCTAGGTAATACCGTAAGGGAGTTTTTGAACTTTTTCCCTTCTATTTATACTTAAGTAGTATGTACTAATATTTACACGTGTGAGAGAGAAAGAAAATTTATCTTGAACTATATGTCACATTAATGTGGAATGGGACAAAGGGTAAAACGGGCTTGTAGTTAATTCTTTTAATAACACTCTTAATAAATACATCAAGAAAGAAATAATTTTTTTTAATATTTCTAAAGCATTAAATTAATGTATATTTTTCATTTAATATTTTTCATTAAGAATTTAAAAATGTTTTGAGAAAATATAGCAAAACTCATACATCTTTTGAGTTAGGTCTTGCATTTTTTTGTCTAAACTAATAAACTGAAATGTGAGCTCAGGTCACATTTCAAATAGTAATAACCCTTGTCATTACATTTGTGAAGTTCCAGTGTACACCGCATAAATCGAGTATTACTAGCAACTAGCTAGTAAGAACCTTAGAGTTTAAAATCAAAGGAACGTCATCATTGTTCTTTCCATTTTTGGATCGGCATAATTGTTTTAAATATTCAAACAGATATGAAAAAGTGTATATGCTACTATATCAAATACGAAGATCATACCCACCATTGGCCATGGGTTGGTCAAAAGGAAAAGAAAACAATATCTATTTATCAAAATAGAATATAAAATACGAGGAAGAGAAGCATCCATACATGCATATATCGAAAGGGCCACAAGAAGGAGTCACATTTTTTTTTTTAATACGAAGATGATATGTTATATTACTTTGTCTCATTTCTAAAAAACTAACATAAATTATAGACAATGTTTGAGATCAATACCAAGATGACAATATCTTCTTCCTATCCGATCCAAAAAGTATTATAAATTAAAGTTCAGATTTCAGGTAGGTCAACACAATAGCAAACACTTCAAGGCACGTGGTTTTTTTTTAACAAGTTGTTCAAATATATAAATGGGTAGGAACTAGATACGAGCGTTATATCTTTTTATCCATTCGAATCTTTGAATTTAAATACACTGTAATTGCTGGCCATTGGTGACAGTCTTCTTAAATTGAAAAGGATATTAAAAGATAAATGAAGATAAGAAGGTATAAGGGTTCAGTGTAACGAATTAATTTATTTTCACCTCATGCAGAGTTAAATAAATATGATCTGAGGTAGATACGAGGAATGAGGTCTCAAGCTACAAAGGGGATGAAATGATCAATATACAATACAATTGGTTAGAGAGACTCGAATATGAAAAACAAGAGTTCAGACGAATGCTAATGCTAACTTCAAGCTAGGCTAAGTAGTGGGGAGATATGTATATTAGGGGCTAATTGAAGAGCACATTTTTGGTACTATTGGAGTATGTACTCCTTTACTAAAAGTAGAAAATGGTGATGGTTTAGGAAAAAATAATCATACAAGGAAGGGTAAAATGATAAAAAATATATATTATTATTTCTAAATTGAGTAAATGATGCACTGAGTCTTCAGTACTTTTGTAGTACTAAAGATATTTCTCTAATTGAGAGGTATGAAGAAGAAGCCTAAAGATCCCTTATGTATAGAAGAATGGGTATTTATAATGAGGTCATAGATTTTTGTGTTGTGCAAAAGTGTGACCTTAAACGATGCCCCAATAGGCCTCACCAGCATATGTGAGTGAGGTGAGGCCAATACATTCATCATATTGAGATGACGTTGTGCATGGGGGAAAATTTTTTGGTGCTCGAGGCCTAAGGGTGCTAATTATAAATCATAGGCCTTTGACTCGGCTTGTGAAGGTTTGAGTTTATATGTTTAAAATTGGTTGTTGGCACCAGACTTGAACTTGTTTAAAAACTCGTTTAATAAAAAGGTCTCAGGCTCCAATTCAAAAGCTCGGTCTTAGAGCCTCTTAGGCTAAATATTATTTTATTTTATTTTATATTTTTTATACGTGATAGGTTATTCTGCCTACTCTTATTCTGCCTACATTTGCCTGCCCCTTTCAACATCGTTAGATTATAATCTGATCCAACGGTGGAGACTTGTGGGATAAAATAAATCCTTTTACCCCTTCTTTTCTTCCATTGTCTCTCATATTTTCTCTCTCCTTCCTTGCGAAGACGTCGCTTTGTTTTGATTTGCCAAAATTTCTTCTTGTAATTTTCCTTGCTGCAGTTGACGCATCACATGGGTATTGAACAATTTGTTTTCAATAACCGAATTTCGAAAATGCTTGGATTATGTTGAATAGGGTCGTGTACCGTTTTTGTTACCTCTGTACAATCAACATGGTTTCAAAATTATCGTTGGGATTGATGGTTTTTGAGTGATTGGAAATTTGAAAGGAATGGAGAGAGAACGAATGAGAGAGAAAGTGTGGGAGGCAATATAAGAAAGAAAGGGATAAAAGGGTTTATTTTATCCCACAAATCTCCATCGTTGGATGAAATTATAATCTAACGATGTCGAGAAGTGTACGCAAAGGTAGGCAGAATAACCTATCCTTTTTTTTTGGTGAAAAACCTATCCCTTTTTATACTACTTGTAATAGTCATCTTTTTCTCCTCAATCCTTTCCACTCCATTTTATTGGTTAAATAGACTTTTTAAATGATTTTGTTCTATATTATGCTGTTTATATACATTGAATTTATGAAATTATTAGTGTTGTTACTTGTATATTCTGTTTGGATAAATTTTTGTTGTCTTATTTTTTTTAAACAGGCTAAACCAGGCTTTTATTTTTTTTGTAAATAATTCAGGCCATGGGCCGATAATTATATTTATATAACAGGTAACAGGTTTGGTCAGACACATTTAAGCACATACTTAGCATTTAAGATCAAAGCTCGGCTCAACTCATTAACACCTCTATCCAAGCCCATATGATCTGTAACACCCCGTGTATACCTGATTTGTTAACATGTCATCGTATTAAGCCACGCTTAATTAAAATGCGGAATATTCTTTTTCCTTTCAATTATGACGTCATTAACTTGGCCAAGTTGATTACTTAATCAATTTCATAAAAACATCGCTTGTATGTAAATTGCAAAAGACAGCTAACTGATATACCTCATAAATAGATAAGTAAGTATCTAAGTCACGGATCTACAACACGTAATCCGGACAATATCCTGATACATTAATACTACTCAAAACTAAAATCATAAAGTCAAGTCAATGTGGCATGGACAAACCTCATGCTCACCAAATAGACGATATAGTCAACAGAGTCTCAATAATAACATCAATGAAGCTATAAGCATGATATCAACAGACATAAACCAGCATCCAAGCACAGTCAGCATAAGCAGATAAATATCAATCAACTAAGCTCCGGCCTCCTGCCACTAGAGGTCTCAACCCCTGGGTTACCTGAACCTGAAATAAGCGCCCCAAACGTGGGGTAAGATCTCTAAACAGAAATCTCAGTAAGACAAGGGGTCCTCAAGGATCTTCCACCCCAAGCTCACTTACATGTGCAATATAAGTTCCAAAAACAGTTCAACAATATAAGTTCCAAATTAGTGTAATGCAGCAGATAATCATGTCATGTGTGTTATAACTAATCTACTGGCCAGAGAAATGCAGGAATACGTCTATTACCCACACTAGTGCAAGACGCCACTTGCACCCAACTACAGTGTCACCGTCTTGTATGACGCCACATACTTAGGCTAACCGTCTAAGTGGAACAACACATACATATTAAAAGCCCTTGCACATAAAGCTCAACAGCATTTTCAATTATCAAAGCATGTAAACACATCATGTATATAAACCATTCCCCCATGGGGTATGGTGGAACCACACAATGGCTAAACCGAGGACACGAAAGCTTACCTTGCAAGCTAACAATCCAAGCCAAGAGTCCAACCAAGCTCAAAGCCCAAACACAGCAGAATCACAATCTGTTTTGGACCAGAATAACATTAATATTCAAACTCTACAAGCAAACGACATAAAGACAACGCCTTTCCTTACGTTTCATGTCTCTAGCCATAAGCCATAAGCCATAAGCCCTTAATCACTTGATTCTGACTTAGTTTAATTATTACAGAAGTTCAACTTCATCAATCTAGGGTCCACAAACCCCAAACACAGTTATATATGAACAGTACCATTACTGTTCACGCGAACCCAGAATATCCGGATATATGTCAGAGACATATCCGGATATCCATATTCGGATATCACAAGCCCCCATATCCGGATACTTCGCGACAGAATGCAGATTCTGCATTTCGCGAAAATATCCATTAAAGGTTGTGTTTTTAACACTTCTAAACGTCTAAGAACCCATTTTTAAGCATCTCAAGGTTCATATACGTGTTGGTTACTTGTTTAACTCATTAAACATGATAAGACTCCACTTTTACCCATTAAAACATATTATCAAAGTTGATGAACTTACCTAAGGCTCTCAAAATAGAACAAGGAAGGATCTTGGAGCTCACTATGCGGCTCCCAAAGGGCTGACTACCAAGTGCACAAAAATGACAACAAAGAAGGGTCCTTTCTTCACATAGATGGCTCCTTGAAGCCACACAAGCTAAGAACAAAGGCTTCCCAATACTCAAACCAACAAGTCAGCCTTCAAGCACACCAAGACAGAAGCTAGAACTCAGAAATGGTGGCTCTTTTCCACACACAAAGCAAGCTCACACTAGACCAAGATATTTTGTGAAGAAACTATGAGCAAAAGTGCTTACTTTGGCTCACCAAGTGGAGAAGAAGGGGTGGCAAGGTGGCCGGAGATGTTTCAGAAAAATAGAGGCACGTAGGGTAGCAATTCTGACCTAGGATCATGTGCCCCTTAGCACTAATAGCTACGCTTAACATTTTAATCCCAAACTTAGGATTCTGAACCTACTCATTTTTCTAAGATTTTCCATATTTTTATTTTATTTTTCCCAGCACATTTCCGGTACGCGCTTTTCCATAGCCAGTATCAGCTCTGACACCAATTCTCGTTATTTTAACTTGAAACTTGTTTTACAAGTCCTATATATTATTCTAGTGACAGATACACACTTTTTATAATTTTTTGGTATACTTCACCGGTACGCATTTATACCGAGTAACAGAACCGGTATCTGCACTTTTCGTTAAAAAAGCGACTTTCAGCATTATCAATCATGGGAAATACTACTCTCATTTTATATGAGGTAGTTATCTCCTTTTCTCTCACTTTGAAAATCGTACCCTTTCTTTTTTCTTTTTCTTTTTTGCTTTTAAATAGCGGGCCCTACTTGGATTCTCTCTGTAACATGAGAGAACTACTCTCATGTTAATATTACCCATCAATCATTTACCAATATTATTTAAGCTTTATCATAATTATTATGATCAATTATAGAATTATTTCTTAATTTCTTATAATTAATTAATTAACTTTCTTAATTAATGGTGCATGATCATTCTACTAAGGGGTGAAATTTGGACAAATTTTTTTTTCCTCCTCGCTTCAGGCCCATTGAGTGGGGATGTGCTCCACGAGCATAGAAATAAAGCTTGTACGTGAGAGGTGAGGGGAAGAGTGTCAAACGTGCGATAAACACCATAGCTTTATGGTGGGGATCCAGAGTATGGGCTCCAAAATGAGCCCAAGTCACTCATCTAAATCATATTATAAACCAAATGATAAGAAATTCTGTTAGATGGAAAGAGAAAAAAAGTTTAATTGCTATGCAATGAAAAAATAAAGATAAGAAGGTATAAGGATTCAGTGAGATGAATTTATTTTCTACTCATGCAGAGTTAAAGAAATAATATAAACCAAATGATAAAGTATTCTTCAAGGTGGGGGAAAAAAGTTTAATCGTCGGTCATTGGTGATAGATAGCCTTCTTATTGTAAAAAGGAAACGAAAAGACCAGAAAGCAAAATATAAGAGTTAACGCTACGCTAGAAGATTCCCAAATCTACAATTTCTTTGACATCGTGTGACAGATAATCTTAGTTTTAAGAAAAGTGATTACAATAAACTGAGTATGGAGCTTATATAGAAAAGCTCAATAAAGAAAGAAAGAAAAGAAGAAGTGCTGATGTGGATAAAGAATCCAACCAATAAGCTGACTCAGCTTATTGAAGTAACTCAAATTGAACTAACTGAATGAGTTTCGCGTCCACGTGGCCATTGATAGAAACTTTAGTTGAACTTTTGCTTGTGTTACTATTCACTGCAGTTTTAACTTTGGCTGCATCTTGCGTTTTATAAGTTGAACTTGAACTAATGGATGTTAACAGATAATGACTAAGCCACCAAAAGACCAGAAAGAAAAATATAACAAAGATGTATAAATGATGATGGAGGAAAGAAGACGAACAATATTTACATATATCGCGTGGTATCCATTCTTAGAATTAAATATTGTTGTCCTCAACAAATAATTTAAATCTAAAAGTAATCTTTAACAAAAAATCATAAAAAATAATCATGCTTTGAAACATATCACAAATAATAAAATTGCAGGTCAGAATATCAACATATCCAAAATATAATGGATGCCCTCATCTTTAGGAGCAGGCCCTTTTTCATTCCAATAGAGTCAATAAACAGCATCACATTTAAGATGCTTGGATTTGCATTTGTTATAGAACAACTGTTAAGGGTGTTGTGTGAGACAACAAACACAAGAAAGCAACAAAAGCAAATAGAAGAGTCAAAATACGTGGAGGTGGCAATGGCATTTTACTCCGTGACATATCGTCCGTGTATTCTGGGCCAAAATCTGAAATATAACCACCACCATCGTTGGGTCCTCTAGTCCACATACCCACATTATTGTCCCTGCACATTCATCACCCATGTTTCAGATTTCATTTTCATTGTTGATGCATATCAATTTGTTAAATTCTCTTAACATTCATCCCAAATAAACTGTTTTAGGAGAAAAGAAAAATAATTACTTATCCGCTATCATCTTATTTATTAGAGTTTGATGAAATCATTCAAAACTCTTCTAGTGTCACCCATATCATATAACAAAAAACTAAGATTATAAATCAAAACCCCAACTCCATTTAATATTAAGAAAAATTGCTCATCTATATAAGAATGTTAACAATTATTAAATTATTCAACAAATTAAAAATAATTTCGGTGAAGTTTAATCAAATTGCTATTTGAATAAAGTATGACTCAGGGTTTTATAAAATTTGATGAAATCATACAAGTATCACTTCTAAAAAAAAATTCATAGAGTTTTTTCTTACGTAAAGGCAGATTTATTACAATAAGTTTATTCTAACAATAATTCCGTTCTAATCACCATTACCATAACTTCTTAGAGGAGAGATATTCTCACTACCAAAATTTTTCACTACCTATCTAATCACCATTAGATTAACATTTTCTCTCTTTTCAAAAACTTTTTAACATTCTCTCTCTTTGATCCAATGGTGATGTGATGGGTAGTAAGCTAGTAGTAAAAAATTTTGGTAGTTAGAATATCCTCACTCAACTTCTTATACTTAGAGCCCATTTGTTTGATCTTTTAAAAAAGTAGTAGCTTTTATGCCTTCCTTATTTTAGAAGTCTTTTTTACAAAAGTCAAAACTATTTAGATTTTTTAAAAAAATATTTAGTTTTTGATAAAAATATTTGGTTTTCGACTTTTTCTATTTTTATAAGCTAAATTTTTTAGCTTTTTTGTGACTTCTGCTTTCTTTTAAAATAGACATTCAAACAAACTTACAGTGAGAAGTGCTTTTTTTTTAAAAAAAATAATTTTTGGAGAAAAAAAAACTTATTCAAACGGGCTCTAAGTATTTGTGGATATCTTCAGACACCATTTCATTTTTTAATTAATAAACAAATAAAAAAATATTACGATTTTTAAATAAAAATATAACTCAATAGTTTAAATTTATTCAAAGTTAATAAGTTAATCCTAAATTAATACTAATAAGTAGAATTTAAAAACTAATTAAACAAATTTAAAATTTAAAGGTGTGCGTGTATTTAAAAGGGGAAATATGAAATTTAAGGTGTCCCAACTACTTTTTCTCTAAATTTTTTTTTTTTTTTTGGTAATGTAAAGTTTTTTATTACCTCCCTAGAAAACATAAACTCAATAATTGAAGAGATATGTTATTTTACCTATTTTTTTATATTTACCTTAACTTCTATTTTGTAATACTTTTAGGGTGTGTTTGGTGTGATGTATAAGGCCTGATAGTATAAGCTTATAATATACGTTATGACATTTTCAGTTGTTTGGTGTGACCATCGTATAATATAAGCTTATACAACAGGATCTCCTTATACATCAAAATGATGTATAACTTAATCAAGCCTAGGAGTGGTGGATTAGGCATGATAAGGGACTGATGTATTAATATTGCTTACAAATACAATTCCCAAGAACAATATATCATTTCAATATTTATATATTAAAATAATTTTTTTTAATATATTAATTTTTAAAATATTGGAGGATATTATTTTATACAATACCATACCAAACGCTGGATAGTATTAAAATTTAATCAGGTCTTATACAATCAGGTCTTATACTATCAGGTCTTATACTATCATGCCTTATACTATACTATGTACCAAACATGCCCTTAAGGCATATTTGGTGCACTGTATAGGATAATACCTGATAATATAACATTTGATAGTATAAGACCTGATAATATAAGGTCTGATTGTATAAGATCTGATTAAATTTTAATACTATCCAATGTTTGACATGATATTGTATAAGATAATATCATCCAGTGTTTGGTAATGCACTGTTTAATACTATATATGATAATAAATGTTTTTGATAAAAATATCCTTTAATAAAGAGTTTATATAATTCTTCCAAATATGTCATGTGATATTAATTTTTATAAAAATGTATCAATTTGTGTGTCCAAAATATATATTAATTATTATAAAAATAAAAATATCCAATATTTTAAAAATTAATATATTAAAAAATTAAATATTATTTTAATGTATTAATATGAAAATAATATATAAATTCTTGATAATTGCATTCGTCAGCATGTTAATACATTAATCCCCTTTTCAACCAAAAAAAAAAAATATTAAACCCTTATCAGGTCAAATCTAAGGCTTAAGCTTACACTATACGATGGTCACTCACCAAACAACTAAAAAAATATCATGACATATAATATAAATCTATACTATCAAGTTTTTATATATCACACCAAACGCCCTTAAATCAGAATCTTAAAAGAGAAAAAAATAATAAATGGTAGTTGAGATTTTAATATAATGATATTAAAAATAATAAATAAGATAGACATTAAAAACGATAATGGAATAACAAATTACTACGTATCCATAATATATAACTTAAAAAGAAAAAAAAGAAGTGTTTGGATAACCCGATATGGGTCCGAATTAAATAGGATTCTATAAAAAAATAAAATAAAATTGCCTACATACCTGGCGACGCCGAGAACACCGGCGGCCATGGTGAGGACGGAGATACGATCGGCGGATTTGGGGTCAACACTGTACGCATTCTGGTACTTCACCTCACCACTTTCCCCAGAACCCACGAAGAACGCTCCATTCACCATTACATCTCCTTCTGACCTCCAATTCCACCCACTCCATTCCCCTGTTTCCCTCTTCGTCACTTCCTTCGCGTAAGGATTCTCCGGTGCCGTGAACCGGTTCCCCTGGCTATTTATTGTGGGTCCCGCACTTCCCCCAATCGCATACATCTCCCACCTCGTGAAGTCGTTGTTCACCACATGGAAGTATCCCAGCCTGCAACGTGGCATCCTCTGTACCAGGTTTTCGCCGAAGTGGTTAAACGCGAGCGTGACCTGCATGCCCGAGTCAGGTAGGTAGTTATCGCTGTGTCCCAACAGCATCACCTCGTTGTGGTGCGAGAAATGGTTGTTGGAAACGGTTATCGCCGTTGAGCCCATCACGGCATCAATTAAACCGTCCTTGCAGCGTGACAATGTGCAGTGGTCGATCCATATGTCCCTCGAGCCAAATATGGATATTCCGTCGCCGTCAGATAACGTTCGAAAACCGTAGTGCTGTGGGCTCGAGCGAACGTTAGTGTTACCCGAGGGGTGACAGTGGTGAATGTGAATATTGTGGATGATGACGTTGGTTATATACTGAAGAGTGATGCAGCCACCACCGACAATGTGAACGTCAGCGCCACGACCATCGATGGTTTTGTAGCTGTTGAAGATGAGTTCCTGAGAGAGCTTAATCATCATGTTAGTGGGGAACACTATCCACAGTGGCTCGTTTTGTATCACTGCGTATCTTAGTGTGCCAGGTTTTGGGTTCACAGGGTTATCGTCTGAAGAGTCCGTGATGATGTAAAAGTCACCGCCTTTGCCTCCCTTTGCGTTCTGACCGAACCCAATTGCACAATCAGCTAGTCTTTGTCGATTGTTGAACCAATTTGTGTTGCATTTCCAACAATCGTCGATTGGGTTCCCTGTTAGGCATGATTGTACTTCATCTTTATGTGATATTGATAACATTTCCCTTCTTGCAATTGAAGCTTTAACCTTACTACAAAACAAAAAATGGGGCAATTTGAGCTACAACTAACTAGTACTTTGAAATGTAGGGTCAGCAAGATGAAAGCACAGGACCAAGTGAGTTATTGTTATGTTTAGCATAAAATCAAACACCTAAGAAACAAGAGATATACAGAACAGTGAACAGAACAATGGTGTGGGTATACCTATGAACTTCTCGGGCAACAGCTTCGGGATCTGGGTGTTGCCCGGGAAGAGTGAGGTTAAGCATTGGTGTTCCATGTGGTAAAAACGAACACAGAACAGAGATTAGTAAAATGCAGGTTCCTTGGAGCATATTGTTGATGAAGAAGAGTGCTCATTCACTGCTGCTAAGTTACACGTTAGTGGCTGCGACAAGTACAACAGTTCAATGGTTGCTTTTCTGAAAAGGTTGTTAGTGTTCCTTTGGGAGCATTAATAAAAAGTGAAACTCCGTTATTAAAGGCAATAACAACCATAGAGGTGGAGTGTGAATGTGAACAGAAGCATTGTATAATTACCTTCCTAATTAAGCTCTCAGTGGTACTGTGCTCTAGTATTTAACATTTTACCATTCTTGTGATTCATGGTTCTTTTGATTATGTTAAGGTCTTAAAGATACCAAAAGATAAAAAATAAAAATAGATTAAGAGGTGAAGTGAGTGAGACTGGGAGTATGCGAGGATGAGCATTGAGCAATGTTACCGGAATCATGGTGTCCCACTTCTCGATGAAGTGGTCTCCAATTTTGTTTTGGCGGGACGGAGTCACTTCCCCCTCGGGAACGGAATAAAGTTACTTATCACGCGATTGGCCCAATGTTTGACTACTACGAGTCTACGACCATATGATACTGTTAATTCTGATAACTACATCTGCAACAGAGGTTCGCTAGGAACATTCTCGAAGGGCATGACTTCCTTTTTACTTTTGGACCAAAAAAAAAAAAAAAAAAATATATATATATATATATATATATATATATATACATAGAGAGTAAACATATAAAATAGAGTAAACATTTATAATACCAATCAATTATGCAAAAAAATATAAAATATCTTAAATATTTATATTAAACTCAATAAAATGGTAATCGTAATCCAACGAATCTAATAGTTGAAACTAATAACGCAATGCAATACAACCTTCGAATCTTTTTTTGAGTTTCTGCAATCTATGTTGAAGTGTCGGAGGGTGTCGAAGTATCGAATAGTGTCAAAAGTATCGGACATGATACGTTAAGATTTTTAAAATATCGATGCTTCATAGTTCTATATCATCTATGTAATATATAATAATTAGAAAATATTGGGACCCACAAGTCCTTAACAAAATATGAAGATACTAAAATTTAAAATTAAAAGAGAAATGGAACTGAATTTTATAAATAAAACGTAGAATCATCAGACTGTAGACATCGCCTTTATTGATTTGACCCCTTAGTTATTGGCAATTTTTCATTTATAGTATCCACTCCATTTTAAAATATTCCATCGGTTCATCGCTTCGCGATTAATCCGATTCGGGGCGGGTCCGGGATTAAGGCTTTAAACCCTTCCATTTTAGAATTAGAGATAAATAGGACTCGGTCAAATGTTATTAAGTGGGTAAAGTAAATATATTATGTGACATTAAGTGAGTTAAGTAAATATACCAGGTGGGTTCCACAACTTCGACCACTGTTGTCACTAATTTTCTTCTCCTAGCCCCATGATAACTCGAGGGTTCAATGTTTTTCATAAATAAATTATTAAAGTAATATAATTAAGAGGGTTGTCTAGTTTTCTTAATCATTGTTATGCTGGTAGTTTCATCAAAAGAGAGAAATAGATTTTTAATGTGCTCCTGGACAGGGGTTGTTATGGACCCATATAATGGGCTCATTAAGTGGTAAGCCTAACAAGAGGTAATCTAAGATACTGATTGATATTAACAAAAGATAGATATCCATCAAGGATACTAATCCTAATACGACAGCATAGCAGACAGGCTTGGGCCCTCACCAGAGGCACCAAAGGCCCATCCACACTACCTACAGGTAACCTCTATAAATACAAGATAAACCCTAAAGGTACGTTACGCTCTCTCTCTTACTGTTATGTTGTCACTGTGCGCACACACACCCCATGGGCTAATGTCGTTATAGTATTCTGTGCACAGTGATCTACTTGACTCAAGGGTATCTCATTCATAGATACCTTGGAGAGGGCACTAGATCTAAGATAAACGCACCAGCCTATTGGGATGGACATCTCTGTCTCAAGGACAGAACATTGGCACCGTCTGTGGGGAATTCATCTTCATTGAATTGGAAGTTCCCACTAACCTGACAAAGGATCGCAATCCAGACAAGGAGTAGTAGCCAACAGCCACCCCAGAACCAGAATCAACCGTTGGATCCGGTCCTGGAAAAGGTAAATCGGCCTCAGGACCAGATCGAAAACAACGTGGACTATGACCATGCCCAGGTTGAGGATGACGTCTCAGACACCGTGTCTACTCCATCGCGTCGAGACAGGGGGGCTGATGCGATTATGGCTCCAATAAGGAACAACCCTTCCCAGCAGCCAGGAGATCTTGCTGCGCGTATTGCCCAATCAGCCGATCCGGATACTCGGTTGGCTAACAACGCAATTGCTGCGATCATGGAGCGGATTGCAGAATTGGAAACTCGTAATAACCTGCAACGGCAGCAAGACTTTCGGGCGATATGGGAGGAAAGTAATAGGGGAATGCGAGACCTGGAACAGCGCTTAACACATCTGAATGGACCGGGGGCAACATATACTAAAGGCCAGCCTGCCAATGGCCGAGAAGGAACTCGAAACCTAATCCTGCCAAACCGGGTTCCTGAAGTGGAAAATCAAGAAAGGCCCAACCCGGCGAATGCAGTAAACCCAAACCCAGGGAACCGGGATGTCGAGGGCCAACATGCTCAAAACCATCTGGCACAGGCCAATGGCCAGGAGGACCGGAATAGGACTCGTCATGACCAGAATGCTCAGATCGTCCGAGGACGTGTGGAACCCGGCAGATACAGAAGGAAGTACAGTAAGGGCAATACAACAACAGCCCTTTTACTGGTGAAATACTGAACGCTCCCTTCCCGGAGGACTTCGACTCAGCACGTCTTCCAAAGTACGATGGGAGTCAAGATCCACAAGTCCATACAGACGCTTTCGACACGGACATGTATATCCAAGGAATTGACGAACCCCTCATATCCTGGATATTCGCCATAACCCTGACTGGGGCAGCACAGGCGTGGTTTTCAACTCTTCCTGCTAATTCCATAAGCTCATTCAAGGAATTCGGGCAGAAATTCCTCTTAAACTTTGCAACCAGCAAAAAGCATCCCAAATCTGAGTTCGCTCTCGGAAAGATACGACAGCAACCCGAATCCAGAAATATCTTAATCGGTTCAAAGACGTTGCATTGCAGGTCCTCGAGTTGCAAGAGAATGTCCACGTACACCTCATTGTGGCTGGTTTAGATGGTGCTTCCATGCTAGCCAAGTCGGTCTACAAGGACCCGGTGAGGACGTTGGAGGAATTCAGAACTCGTTCGAAGAAATATCACGAACTGGAGCAAATGGAGATTGCAAATGCGCAATCTGAAGAGGGCAAAAAAGTTAGCCCGAGAAGGAGGAGCCAGCCCCAAAAGGGAAAGAACGGGTGGACAATAAGAAAAAAGACCCACGCGCTAGAGTCCCGGACATTAGGGATCGGGTTGGAAGATATGACCAGTATACACCGTTGAATGCGTCGCGCTCTCAAATCTGGAGGGAAGTAGCAATGACGGAAATGAAGAAGGTGGACAGACCCCGGCCTATATTTGACAGAGGAGGTTTGGACAAGTCCAAATATTGTGCCTTCCATGATGGGCCGGGCCACACAACTGATCAATGCTGGGATCTCCGAGATGCGGTAGAGAAATTTGTGAGAGATGGACGATTGCGTCAATACGTGATCAAAACCCAAGGGTCCAAAAACAACAAAAGGAAGTCGGGAAACAGAAAGAGAAGTAAAAGTTCAGTTCCTGAAAAGAAGAACAAGGATGAAAGGGACCGCAAAGATGATCCCAACTTCGACGAGTTCCTGGAAGCAGAATTTGATTGCAACGTAATCAGCGAAGCCCTTGGAGGAGGGGGTGACACTATAAGCGCAAGAAGGAAGTACTTGAAGGAGGTCCTTTCAATTCGGGACCGTTCTAAATTCAAGGAAGACTGATGCTCTCCGGCAAGTATACCGATCGCACAAGTAATATAGAAAGTAAGTAGAGTATCGTCTCCACAGGGATTGGGTCGAATATCAATTAATATTCCTTTAAAGAATGGAAGGGTTCAAATGGTTTTTGACAAATATTGTCGATTTGTGTAAAATTGAGAACTGAAATAAAGACTTGTTTTTGTAATTTTTCTGTAATGAAGAATAAAAATAAGAACAAGAATGATTTGATTTATGAAAATGAGAAAAGCATTGTAGCCAGAGCGCACTCACCATATGATCCCCACTTATTATTTTGAATTAATTTAAAACTATTCAATTATATAAATACTCAGATAATTATCATCTAAAATTAATTAGTTAAATCCCAATCTCTTGGCAATTTAACCCTTTAACCTCAATTGAAATCCTAATCCCTTAGTAACCCCTCATGAGAATTAAGCAATGAACTCAATAATTTAAGCATCTGCAATTAAATATACATCTATTCCTAGCATGCATAGTAATTGTTATCTTACCCCCTTTCAAGATGAAAACCCAAATATTCCTATCTAGGGTTCTAACCCTCAAACTATCCTCAACTATTAGATTGATCAAGTCTAACAAAGAAGATATAAAATACGCACAAGGTAACGATAAAGATAATTATATAAACGAAAAACCATAAATCAATCCATCGTAACAAGGGTTCACATAGGGTTCGTGACCCTAACTACAATAAAAAGTAAACTAGCCAAACATAATCATGGCTAAAAATCCAATATTCATAAAAACATAAAGTAAAAGAGGAAGAAGAAGAACAAGAATTTCTCTCCAGAGCTCTCCTTCTGACGCACAACGGTCTCCTTAGGTCCAGAATACCTAATTCTGTGCTGAGCCTCCTTTTTATAATCTTCTTTTTCATCTTCCAAAATTGCCCTCTTGAAAAGCACGGGCTGTGATTTCCGCAAACTGGCGCTCTTAGCGCCAGTTCCACGCCAAGAGCGTGGTTGCCTCTGAATCATCACGCCATCAGCGTGAAATCCACGCTATGAGCGCGGGAGAAAGGATGGTTTCACGCCATAGCGTGAACTCCATGCTATGAGCG